AACTGTCCACTGCAGCTATCCTTGTTCTTGCTGGGTTATGGTCCACTCCCACCATGGCTGAATATGTTGTTAAGAAAATGGATATTAATACTTTTTTATATACATTATGGATTCTTTATTTCCTTGAAAGTAGAGCAGGTCATCAAATATTGTCAAATGTATTTCTATAGCACATGTAAAAATAACAGCTGTTGACCAAAGTGCTGTAAAAGAATTTTTCTACTTTTCTACTCTGGTTTAGCACTTTACACAATTTACCTCATTCACACTCATTCATTGCCAAAGTGTGTTCTAGCTAATATTCACATTCTAATTAACACATCGGAGAGAAATGTGGAGTTTGGGCATGCAGACTGAAACAGGTCTTCTGTTTTTTTTTAAACAGTAGATGACCTGCTCTCCCCTCTGAGCTACAACAACGCCTCATTTAATGATAGATAAGATATACACTCTTGTACTATACAGTGTTCGTGTGATAGATAAGGAACTCTATGAATGTTTCTTAATCACTTTAAGTGCTTTTTAATACGTTTAGAAAATACTAAATAAATAATAATCATAAATCTTCAAAGGTCCTGCCATATGCCATCTGCTTACAAACTATCAGTGGTTAGTGGTTAAAAAATTGGAGATCAGCTGGAGATCTGGTTTCTAAACGGGACTGTAGCTGTCGTAACATCTTTGTACCAAGAGATGGCAGTGCGACCGTGGTTTGGCCTGACGATAGCAGTCAGAGGCCAGACTCAAACCTTCCAGGAAGGCTTTCTAGAAGCGTTAGCAGCATATTTACCGGAACTCCAACCAAAACAAAGGCTAAAGTTTGTCATACTGGGGAACTTTCGAGGGTATTAATGAGCAACATCCAGGCTTTATATTGTTTTCAATTTCATTACATTCTCATGGGGCTGTATACAGTGGCTTGCAAAAGTATTCGGCCCCCTTGAACTTTTCCACATTTTGTCACATTACAGCCACAAACATGAATCAATTTTATTGGAATTCCACGTGAAAGACCAACACAAAGTGGTGCACACGTGAGAAGTGGAACGAAAATCATACATGATTCCAAACATTTTTTTTACAAATAAATAACTGACAAGTGGGGTGTGCGTAATTATTCAGCCCCCTGAGTCAATACTTTGTAGAACCACCTTTTGCTGCAAGTACAGCTGCCAGTCAATAAAATTGATTCATGTTTGTGGCTGTAATGTGACAAAATGTGGAAAAGTTCAAGGGGGCCGAATACTTTTGCAAGCCACTGTATATATATCTATTATTTTGTCAGTTAAATGATCATCGCGTGTCCTTACATGATTTTGTAGGAAACTGTATTTCAAAGCAATGAGAGAGCAGAGGATCATCACACTTTTTTCATATCACATTCAATAAGTGAAGAAAATTATCACCTATGATCTAAGATCACCAGTCTGTCAAACTAATCAAGTTTGCAGATGACACCACCGTTATTGGACTCATCTCGGACGGGGATGAGTCTGCCTACAGGAGGGAGGTTGAACGTCTGGTGTCCTGGTGCAGCCACAACAACCTGGTGCTGAATGCCCAGAAGACAGTGGAGATTATTGTGGACTTCAGGAAGCACAGAGCTCCACTACCCCCCATCATCCTGACTGACACCCCCATCACCTCTGTGGACTCATTCCGCTTCCTGGGTACCACCATCACCCAGGACCTGAAGTGGGAGCCCACCATCACCTCCGTCATTAAGAAAGCCCAGCAGAGGATGTACTTCCTGAGGCAGCTGAAGAAATTCAACCTGCCAACACGGATGATGCAATTCTACACGGCAATCATCGAGTCCATCCTCACCTCCTCCATCACCGTGTGGTACGCTGGAGCCACTATCAGGGACAAACAGAGACTGCAGCGTGTTGTGCGCTCTGCTGAGAAGGTGATTGGCTGCAGACTCCCATCTTTGCAGGACCTGTACACCTCCAGGACACTGGGGCGTGCAGCTCGGATCTCAGCTGACCCTTCTCACAGTCTGTTTGACCTGCTCCCCTCAGGCAGGAGGCTCCGGTCCATTCGCACCAGAACCTCTCGCCATAAGAACAGTTTCTTCCCTTCTGCTGTTGAACACATGAACAATAACCGTATGACTGTTCCCACCACTAACACATGACCCTACGCTGTGTTCACTGCATCATTCCATGTTTGGCACTGATCACCACCTGCACTCATGTATATATCATGTATATATCTATCTATCTACGTAGCACTTTTAATTCTTATCTTATTTTTATTTTCATGTCTATTTAAGCGTAATTTATGACCGTATGTTTGCACTGAAGCACCGCAGCAATTTCCTAATGTTGTAAACCCGCTCAACATTTGACAATAAAACCCTTTCTGATTCTGATTCTGATTCTGATGATAAAAGGCATCGCATTGTGGATGGGGAAGCACGCATATGAACAATATCAATAGATCAAATGAATGTTCAGGCAGCTTGAGAACAGTGAACTCACTGTGATGTTCAAGAATTGAGTGTATTTGTGTACAAGTGCTGGTTAATAGCACTGATGGTACATTTTGTGCTCTGGAGACCAGACACTCTGATGATCATGTGCTGTTGGTTCTTTGTGGTTAAATGAGAAATTGCTCAATCAGAAACCCACAAACACCCGCAGAGAGAGATGAAGTTATTTTAAAATATCTTAGGGCTGCTGTGCATCCTTCAGCATGTCTTTATTGCACACCATCTGTTACTGTGCTCACAGTGCCAGGTGCATGTGCAGGTGCACTATAGCAGCACACAGAAACATGCAGTGGACTCATGTTATCGTAGCTCTAATGAACATCATGTGGATTGCTTTCTTTTTACCTCCGCATCTTGTTCCAGGTAAGAGCTTTGCTTTTGGTGTTTTAAATAGAAAATGTTCATGTAAAATTATTCCTCCTATAATATATCATATTTCAAATATAATGATCGTTTTGAGGTGATGTCTTTTCATCTCCAGTGTTTGTGCAGAGAAGAGAAGAAGCACGAGCATCTCTGATGAGGAAATCCTGCTGAGAGGGTTTTGTATTCAGCCTCCACCTGACATAAACTGGATATCAAGTGTACCAGCAGTCTACATCCCTGATAATAAAACCAACTCCACCAACACAAGCTTAAAAAGTAAGCTTCCCTTCTGCTTTCATCTCTGCTCAAACCAGAATTAAGACTACAGAAGAGTGCTCTAGACTCCAGAGCATTCAAGACTCTGGAGATCAACATGTACCAAACCACTAACTACTGACTATTTAGTTCTATAGAAAATGGTGTCACCATTCCTGGAATATACCATGTGTTGGAGGGCCTATAGTGTTTTTAGACATTTTAGTATATGTTTGAAAGTCCACCCAATTAAACACTGCTGTCTTGTATTTCAACCCTTAGAAGACCTGGATGAGACAACGGCAACTACTTCTCCTGTAGTGGAGCTGAAGGTCCCAGGAGTCACCACACCCTCAGAGACAGTTTCTCACAGCAGCTCTGCAGCTCCTGATGTTAGAGGTACACAACAACTGAATGCTCCTAACCAAGCAGAATATCTTCCTGGTAACAGTGAGTTAGTCCAGCAGAAGGCCTGTGTTGAAGTGGCACCTTCACACATTCTGCTGGAGGGAAATTATATAAAATACCCATTTATGTGTTATATTATGAAGGTTTGTCTACTGAGTTTTTATATAAATAAGTACATATTTATTGTGGTAGAATTTTTAAGTTGGCTTTAACAAGTATTTTCCCCATCATAAACGAAGAATGTGAATATAAAATGCAGTTTTTAAAATGATTTATTATCATTAAAACACTAGCCAAAGCTACCTGAATCTTTGTGAATTGTTAAAAACAAGAAAGTTGTTTTTTGGGGTGGTTTTTTTTTTTTTTGCATTATTTTCTTTGTATACAGCTAAATAGTTTTGTCCTGTATTTCAACCCTTAGAAGACCTGGATGAGACAACGGCAACTACTTCTCCTGTAGTGAAGCTCCCAAGAGTCAACACACCGTCAGAGAAGGTTTCTCACAGACGCTCTGCACATCCTTGTGATAGAGTGAAACGGCAACTGAACTTTCCTTACCAAAGTTTTCGACATAAGAGATCTAGTAAGGGTGCTGATTTCACGATATGGATGAATAGTTTGTGAATTCTTTTGTACCAGCACTAATCAATTATTGCACATTGCTCAGAATCCTCACATCATTAATATTTTCATTACTTTAGTGCCGGTTCTAAACAAAATAAAAGGTCAGGTTGCATCACCACTGCACCTCTGTCTGATCTGGAAGTGATCAATAAATGAAAAAACTTGTTTGTTTTCATATTCTGATCAGTTTTTACGTGTTTGGATACTTTGCTTTCATCATATGTTGCACACACTAGAAGGCAGTTGTTTGAAAAAATAAAGTACATATTTATTGAGATAGAATTTTGAAGCTGGCTTTATTCAAAGTTCAGATTTCTGAACTTAAAATTATGTAAATAAAGACATATTTCCATGTTAATTTCCCCAACTTCCCTTTAAAATATAGCACTTTTGTCAGGTTCAGGAATGTTATTTTACTGTCACTGTGTTATCATTTACATACACTGTCATTATTTCATCATTATTTCATTAGTCTGCATCACTTAGTATCAGTTGATCATCAAAATTATCATGTATCATTTATCATTTATTCCAGAGCACGCAGAATAAAACACATTCCAGATAGAATATTCTATTATGCAAGAGCACCAGCATAGCTGCAGCTCCAGGCGGTCCACAGTAAGTCAGATAAGGACACTTGAACTTTTGTTGGCCTGGACCTACAATCTCACAAAACTGCACACTTGTGTACACAATTGTTTATGTTCCAAATACCGATGATGGGAAACATCTGGTGTCAAGCCTGGGAAAGTGTTGTTGTTCTGAGGAGAGGAGTTCTGGGAATTGTTCTGACGTCATAATGGCTATAAAGCTTTCTGTAAACGAGCAGAGAGGCGAAGACCGCCTTCCCACACTGTACAAGCTGTGTGTGTGTAATAAATCACTTTTTGGACACCTCCGGGGACTCTGTCTGTGCTTACACTTTTGAAAAATTTTAATACAAAGAAATGTTCCTAATCTTCCTCATCATTTTGGTGCTACCCTGGCAGACAGGTAGGCAGCAACAGCAGCCAAGTTTGTGAATGTGATAACTTGTGAAGGATTTTCAAACTGATACTAAAAATATCAGGCAAGTCTAAATCCCGGTGACCTTGAACTCAAAGTCAGAAGTTTTCCTAAAAGTGTTGGGAATGCAAAAACTTGAGAACAAGGCGAGGTGGATTTTGAAATGTAAACCATGTGTGTATTTACTAGGAAGATGAGGGGTAGCACTCGTGACCGTCAGTATGTTTTTTTACTGTCTGATCTTAATGCTCTTTACTCAGCTGGAAATGGCCGAGACAGATGCTGCTTCAAGTTTTACCCAGGAAGAATTAGAGCAGACCTTGTGGAGTCGTATTACCTGACTGATCACCGATGCCAAAGGCCTGGTGCCATGTAAGTGAAGAAATCTGGGTTTATTTCTTGTCATAATTTTTAACACAATGGCTGAAATTACTGTAAAGAAAAATGCGCAGTATGACCATTGTAACAGCATATTTGTACAATTCAAAATTAAAATTATGCACATGATGCAAAGTTACATTTCTGAACTGAAAGTTATGTAAATAAGGACATTTTTTCATGCTAAACTTCCCACTTTCCATTTGAAATAGAACACTTTGGAAAATTTTGTTATTTGTACTTTTTTATTAAAAAAGAAAAAAGAACACACAATAACAGCAGCATTTCTCTTTGTTTCAGCTTTGTTACCAAAAAGGCTCGTTCAATCTGTATGGATCCGTCTCTCTCCTGGGTCGATAGCATCATGAAAACGCTGGACGAGAGCACTTTTTAAACCAGCTGCCTGCTCATCATTTCATTTTGTTCTGCTTTATCAGATAATATCATATCCAATGTACCTTTATGACTTTTGTAATTAGTGCAACTCTGTCTCAACTGATCCAAAGCTAGTTATTAGCCTGAAGCAATCCACTGAAAAGTCCTTTGATTGTGTAATGTCTCTTTGCTTTGTGTTATGTGTTATCCTCCAAAATAAACACCACAAAAATACAAGCGTGTGAAACTTTTTCTTGTCTCTTCTTCATTTCTTCTAAGCTTTACGAGTTGCCAAGTCTTCCTTACATACTGTGTGAAATAACACTTTTAAAATAAATAACACATAATTTGGTCGATTCTGAAAGTATATATGCAACTGATTTGTAACTGTATGTAAATGTTTGGCTTTCCCTCGATGCACCAACTAAGAGTCTTATGGTTGAGCTATCATTGGAATTTCATTTGGAATTAAAAATAAATAATTGACTCTTTAATAATAATAATTTTCTGGCCGAGATCTGTCTGTCTTTTTCTTCTTAACTACCACTGCTTTTACAAATTGCTAATGATTAACTGGTTTCCTGTCCAAACTTCACCTCTACTGTTGCCCACTGTCAGCTGGGACAGACTTCCTGAGCTACTGGCTAGAAGACACCTTAGTTAATGCTACTCTGTCTGCTGGTCTCTGAACTTGTTGAGCTTTATTGAATGCTTGCCTGTTGATGAACTCGCTACTGACAACATATCAAGTAACTCTCACTTTAAGTAAAAAACAACAACAAAAACACCCAAACAAAGAACAACTACTTCCTTCTGTGAGTTCTGTTTTGAGTCTTTATGTAGTTTGTCAGAGATATTAGAGAAGTTATATTAGAGTGTTAGACCTATAACTCTTGTACAATAGATGTTTTTTGGAAGGTAAAAGATGCTACTGACCTTTAATTCAGTTCAATTCAATTCAATTTTATTTATATAGCGCCAAATCACAACAAAAGTCGCCTCAAGGTGCTTCATAGATACAGAGAAAAACCCAACAATAATATGACCCCCTATGAGCAAGCACTTTGGCGACAGTGGGAAGGAAAAACTCCCTTTTAACAGGAAGAAACCTCCGGCAGAACCAGGCTCAGGGAGGGGTGGCCATCTGCTGCGACCGGTTGGGGTGAGAGAAGGAAGACAGGATAAAGACATGCTGTGGAAGAGAGACAGAGATTAATAACAGATATGATTCAATGCAGAGAGGTCTGTTAACACATAGTGAGTGAGAAAGGTGACTGGAAAGGAAAAACTCAATGCATCATGGGAATCCCCCAGCAGCCTACGTCTATTGCAGCATAACTAAGGGAGGATTCAGGGTCACCTGGTCCAGCCCTAACTATATGCTTTGGCAAAAAGGAAAGTTTTAAGCCTAATCTTGAAAGTAGAGATAGTGTCTGTCTCCTGAATCCAAACTGGAAGCTGGTTCCACAGAAGAGGGGCCTGAAAACTGAAGGCTCTCCCTCCCATTCTACTTTTAAATACTCTAGGAACAACAAGTAGGCCTGCAGAGCGAGAGCGAAGTACTCTAATAGGGTGATATGGTACTACAAGGTCATTAAGATAAGATGGGGCCTGATTATTTAAGACCATGTATGTGAGGAGCAGGATTTTGAATTCAATTCTGGATTTAACAGGAAGCCAATGAAGGGAAGCCAAAACAGGAGAAATATGCTCTCTTTTTCTAGTCCCTGTCAGGACTCTTGCTGCAGCATTTTGGATTAGCTGAAGGCTTTTCAGTGAGTTTTTTGGACATCCTGATAATAATGAATTGCAGTAGTCCAGCCTGGAAGTAATAAATGCATGAACTAGTTTTTCAGCGTCACTCTGAGACAGGATATTTCTAAGTTTAGAGATGTTGCGCAAATGGAAGAATGCAGTCTTACATATTTGTTTAATATGTGCATTGAAGGACATGTCCTGGTCAAAAATGACTCCAAGGTTCCTCACAGCGTTACTGGAGGCCAAGGTAATGCCATCCAGAGTAAGAATCTGGTTAGATACCATATTTCTAAGATTTTCAGGGCCGAGTACAATAACCTCAGTTTTATCTGAATCAAGAAGCAGAAAGTTAGCGGCCAGCCAAGTCTTTATGTCTTTAAGACATTCCTGCAGTTTAACTAATTGGTGTGTGTTATCTGGCTTCATGGACAGATAGAGCTGGGTGTCATCTGCATAGCAGTGAGGCAGGTGGAGGAGAGACTCGAGGCGGCCGCCGGTCCAGCAGTGTTTCCAACTTAGCGACTTTCTCGTTATACAAGGTTTAAAACTACTTATAAACACACACACACAAAGTAACTCCACCAGAGTGCCTATTTCGGGTCCAAGCCCGGATAAAGGAGCAGGGATGGAATTGTGACATTAAAAAAAAATTGCTAAAAGAAATTTAATTTGTAGTTCTAAATAAACTCTAAATGCATTTAGGACGTATTTTACTCACTTTATGTCTCTTCCACAATGTTATTTCTCTCTCCAACAATGTAGGTTACAATTACATTAGCATGACCAATTATACAAATTAGGTGATGACGTCATTTAACCACTTTTAGAACAACTGATAGCGATTTTCCTTACTGAGGAGTTGGCAACACTGGGAGTGTCAGGTGAACTGAACTTCAGGTAGGAAGTTATGACCTGCAGTCTGTCAGGGTCAGAGATATAAACCAAGTTTAGGTGTAGTTTATTTTGGTTGTGCTGACTTTTTACAGTCAGTTAGTTGCTACATAGCTGGGTGGGTGCTTTGATGTTACCACTTTGCGCCAGAAAGAAGAAACCAGCGCAGGTCGTGTTAAACAACAGCAGCACGTTTAAGCTTGATCAGCTGTTGTTAGAATTTATTTAATATTAATTTCTAGTATCAGCTGATGTTTGCTGGAGCCACAGCTGTAAAAGCTGCTGGTCATGATATGGTTTGGTTATCTGGTGAAAGGGAAACATGCAGATGAAACCAGGAGACGTCCTTACTGAATCATCAGAGCTGAACAGGTGATGGAGAAGCAGGTTTACCTTTTAGGTGACATGAATGAGTTGAAGGGAAGTTATGAACCGTTTCTGAGAGACAAATAACACCAGGATCCTTTTTTACGCTGACAGCTGGTAATTGTGCAGGGGCGGGTCTAGCAAAGTTTTGCCAGAGGGGCCATGTAGGGCTAAAAGGGAAAGGGGGGCACAAAGAAATACTTTTCTTTCTTATTCTCATTTAAAATATCTAGCTTTTATTAAATAATTATCTGAATCTCACAACCAAAGTTTTTATCTGACGTAAAATGTACAGAAATCATACATATACCAACAAGTCAGAACATTGTAGAGGCCTAATTGACAGTATTTGGCTCTACATATCTGTGTGAGCAGATTTACTGTCACATGAATGTCCTCAGGTAGCCGTCTGAATGCTGGACACTCGGAGACCTGTGTCTCTGAGTGGGAGACCAGAGATCAGATTAACATGTGTATCCCTGTATTAACAAACATGCCATATTGGCCCAGTTTATTTTTCTTATCATTGTTGTGAGGAGACCATAAACAGCATTTCCATTTTCTGTTGTACAGTTCATTTGCTGTTATGGAGTTTTTATGTTTAAAGTGTCTTTTTTTGTTTCACAATAGCTGATAACTATTCGCTGCTAGGTGACAAAATCTGCGAACAAATATAATTCTATAAGGGAGTTTTATATAGTGTGTAACTGTTAATATAGAACATAAATAAATGTATTGCTAATGCGATCATATGGCACACTGACTTCTGAGGAAATTTTAGATGGCACTCATCATCAGAAAGGTTGCCTACCCCTGCCTTAAGGAATTGAACCAGCAATATTTTGCTTGTTAGGTAAATGTATTCCAACAAGACAAGATTCCAACAGCACTGGCTGAAATTAAGCCTCAGACCATAATGGAGGCTCCACTGTGTTTCACGGATGTCTGTAGACGCTGCACCTCTCTCCTGACATCCTCCACACTGACATACGAAATGATCTGACCCACTTCTTATGTAATCTGGAATTTTCATCCTTTGAGTTAAGCACATTTCTAATGCTTAAATGATACAGAGTTAGGTGTTAGGTGATTTAACAAACAAGAAAATGCTCAGGCACAAGGACTGGACTGAAGTAAGTGAAAAAGCAGCCAAAGGTAGATTCTGAAAGACCTTCAGAAAGCCTGGAGATCTGTAGGTCAATGTTACGACCCGGCTCGAAATGACGTTAACAAGAGCGGGGTGTCCCGTGACTTCCCACGCCCAAACAGACACAGCCACAGCATCGGACTTTTTTTTTTTTTTTTTTTTTTTTTTTTTTTTTTTGGCCTGTCCCGTTTGGCTCTTTTGCCATCAGAATTGTTGTCTAAAGGCAAAGAAAGATGCCCAACGGATTTACTTTACCAAACTGACCATCCCAGCCTTGCCGTAATGGTCCATTTGATTCACCTTTTATTGTTTATTTTATTTTCACTTACTGAATACGGGACAGACTTGACTAGGGGAAAGAAGGGGAGAAAGAAAGAGGGAAAGAGAAACAGCTGAGAAGAGGGACGGGGGAGAAGGGCAAAAGACAAAAACCAACAGAACGGGCAGAGAAAAAAAATGCATATATCAATCACCTGGATCACCTGCTGAGAAAGAAAAAAGAAAGCAAGCAGAAGAGAACAAGAGTAATAGAATAAACAACATCACAATGATATATGGGAATATGACAGTAAATACTAAATGTTAAACATTATTGTGCAGCACATAAGATCAACAGAACACAGTGTGCTTTGAGGTAGGAGCCAAAAAGGGTGTAGTTTGTGGGTGTGATCACCCGTGTGTACACCTGTGAGCATGGACGCGCTTGTTTTTTGTTTTTTTAAAAGGTTCCTTCATGTAATAATCTGCTAGAGGGTGTGGGGGGGTCACAGCCCCGTCCTCCAGGGCGTGAAGCAGGTGTGGAGGAGATCAAAACTCTAGACATCCAGAGGCCCCCAGAACACAAGAGACCAAGGAAGACCAACAGAGGGGCAGCTGCGCCACTGTCCCGGAAAGAGCTGAGGAGAGTCCCAGATGAGGGCTCACTCAGCAGCCGCGGAGCAGAAGCCAGGGGGAGTTGCAGTGACGCGCCCGTGAGCTCCGCCGGCAGCCAGCTGCGCCTGAGTGACCGAGCCCCAGGCCGAGAGGCCGGGGGCACCCCACCTCCGAAGTGGCCCGAGCGAGCCCCAGGCTCCAG